TCTAATTCAGTCTTCTCAATTCTGTATCAAAATAAGAAAACAACTTTGGGATTAGAATGCAAAACTTTTGACAACCTGGTTATGTTCTCCTGAGTCCTGAACCCCATACTGGTAAAATGGGAACATTAGCATCTGAATTTAATAGAAAAATTTCTGGCTTTGCCTTAAAAAAAAAAAACACTGTAGAATTCCCTTTTAAACTTGCCCAGTTCCAGAAAATGTAACACATAAAAATTTTTATTTTTAAAAACAGAATAAAATTTATTTTATTTTTAAAAATAAAAATTCATTTTGCACCTACATCTTCCATACTGCATTCATTGCACAAAGCAATCCCACCTGCTAATTTTTAGTGCCAAGCTAACAATAGCATATTTTGTAGATTGAAGAGCAACTCTTGTCATTTATACAACTAAAAAAATAGTTATATAAGGAAAAAGGAAATGTTTTAAGGTTAGTACACTTAAATTTTTATTTTTGATTTTTCTTGGCCATCAAACATGCAGACTTTTCTTACTTAGTCGCTCACTCTTCTGCTCACTCTTCTGAGTCTAAATATCTAATGGAGATTCGGACTTTGTATTCTATTCATTGTCATCAAAAATCTGAAGGACAAGGTTGCCTTCGGCTCTTTATAGCATAATCCTCATATTGACAGTTAATAGGTACTATTAAAATCTCCCATAGGGTGGAAATTGGCAATTGCAGCAGTAGACTTGGCTATTAGATTTCACCAAAAGGAGCCCAAGGGCAGCGTGGCCATGGAGGCTGGCACTGAAGGGGATGGACAGAGAGCAGGAGGAAGAGACCTTGGTTTCCAGAAAGAACCATAGAAAGAACTCCAGGGAGTGGCTGCACCCACTGTCTGGTGCTTGAATCCTTACATAACTGCTCTGAGAAAGGGCTTCTGCTTGGATTTTTCCAGGGATAAGGGAACAGGCTTTCTCCCAGAGTGATCTGTTCTATTTGGAACAAATCTGTCTTTGATAGAAAGTTCTTCCTTATGCCTAGCCAAAAATGAGCCATCTTGACTCTCTACATACTGATCCTAACTCTGCCTGATCTTTGAGGCCCCAAATAACAAGCCTAATGCATATGACAGCTTTTAAAGACAGTTTTTGTACCTCTCAAGTTGCTAGGTAGAACCTTCTCAGTGCTTTCAACCAGTCCTCATTTCGTTGGTTTCCTACCCTTTTTGACCCTGGTTCTGACCCCTGGATATACCACAGTTTTTCATTACTCCCTTTATAGCATGCTGTTTGGAACAGAACACAAAGTCTGGCAATTCTGAGTTATGTAACATCTACCTGTGATTCTCTCATGTCTTAATGCAATCTAGATTGTGTTGCTTTATTTGGCAACTTGGATTATATTATTGCCTTCTGTTGAGCTTATCATCAACCAGAACTCCCAAGCAGAATTTTTTTTTCTTTGTTCAATACGTATGCAGTTGCTAGGCCACATTTTCCATATCCTGCAGTGGCTTATTAGACCTTAGATCTATGGATTTCAGCTTCTTCTTAAGCAGTTTTCTTAGCAACATTCTGCTGTGGGTAACTTCAGTTTTTATATACAACATAAAGGAGCCTCATTAGACCGTTACAGATGTATCAAGCATCTGTACCAAGTAAGCAACAGAGTGGTTCCTCGGTTGTTAGGGAAGGATTGGGCAACTTATGAGTCCCTGTATTCATCCTTTCACCTTCAGTAATATATAGGCATTAACCTAAAGGAAGAAGCTGAGACCCAAAACGTAATTTTTAACAGTTTCCTTGAACCAAAGTGAGGACAGGTGCCCAGGATACACTTCTAAGTTGCTTAGGGGAGTGCTTCCCTTGGCCTTTGTTAGCACAGGTTCTTAAAGGCAAAAGCAAACAAGGAGAGGACTGATACAAAGTTATTTGACAGGAATTCTCATCGGTTTGTCAAAATAACATGGATTAGTGATGGGCTGTACATTGTTGGACTATGTTGTTGGACTATATGGTATGAGTTATGATGTCCAGTGTTAGCATTTTATGACTTAATGGTGTCAGTTAGTCTAGAACCCACATAGCAAGGGGCCTCAAGAGGTAATTATTTAACTCAAGGGGGGAATGAGAGGTGATTGCTATCACATTTTAGTGCCTCTCTGGACCTGATAATTTAAAGGGATTCCTCAGATAAAAAGTTTCTTTTCTTTCTCACAGGATTCACTCAGAAGGTTTTATCTTCAGATGATTTTGGTATGTTGGAAGGGACTAGAAATTAGCAGCTTTTTCTTTTCTTCAGTAGAGGCAGGGTCTCACGATGGTGCCAGGCTGGTCTTGAGCTCCTGGGCCCATGCTGATCCTCCCACCTCGGCCTCCCAAAGTGCTGGGATTACAGATGTGAGCCACTGCACTAAGCTGCTGTTTGCATAATTATATTCAGTGACGCCTAGAATATTAGTGCTAGAAGGAACTGAGAGATGTTTTCGTTTATGCTGCCTGCCTTTTGCACATTTGAAAATGATTCAGAGGTAGTAAGCAAAGTGTTGACAGAGGCAGGCTTGGCGCCTGGGCCTCCTGACATACCTATTAACTGACTTACGAGCTTATGCCCATATAGCAAGAGATTTCAATACTGGTGTTAAGATATTTCAGATATTTTTTTTCCCCCTTGGCCTTCTAATGAGTTTAATTGCCCCAGAGCTGGATGGTGTCCTTGAATTCCTCTAGCTCATGTGTAAATGAAGCTCTCATAGATTTTTAGCTGAAGTGGCTCTGGCAGTGAAGCTAGGCAGGATCCTCTCAGGGATTTCCAGGTCCTTTGCTGGTTTTTTGCCAGGTACTTCCCTTGCAAGATGCTTGAGGGTCCTTCCTACGTTGCAGTTGGTAAAAGATAATGAGGTCTCCCGTGGATCACTCTGGTGCCAGGCTGGCGTGTTTCCAAAGGAGTCCCCTGGGACTGGACCTAAGGGGAACCCTTGGCAGAGCACTGTCCTCTGGCAGGTGGTGCTGGGTGTCTGGGCAGGGTGGGGTACTGTGACATAATTGGAGGTCCTGTCTCTTCTCAAGGTAGCTGAGATAGAATGCCCAGGCTTAAGGTGGGCATCCAGCCACATGCCAGAGGACAGCCTCATGGGCAAACGGCTGTGCCAGTCTGCCAAGTGTTAGAAGGATTTTTTATTTGTAATTTTTAATATTAATGTACCATTTTTTTGTTACTTGGTTCTTGAAGAGCAGGAAGTTGACTCTTTCCCTGTGCTGTAATACTCTCTCATAGCAACTGGCACTCTATAGAGTGGATGTTTTCAGATTCAGATAGGGGCCAGGAGATAATGTTTTCTGCCTGGTACTACCTAGCTGTCGCAGGGCCGGTTACTTAGCATTGATTCTTCATCTTTAAAGTAAGGGGCTTGGAGTAGCCTGTGAAGGCTCATTTAGCAATGGTCTTTATGAGTCTAGGGGCCTGTACACAGCTCCCAAAACGTGTCCTTTTTGTATATCTTAAAGAAGCCCTTGTTCTTCTCTTTTGTGTAGTATTAATAGTATTGCTGAGTAAGTCCACCCAGGGAACACCACTCTCACATCCTCCCAACACATTGAAAGGGGAGTTTTCTTCTCTCATCATTTTAAAAATGAGCAAATCTCCGGCCGGGCACGGTGGCTCACGCCTGTAATCCCAGCACTTTGGGAGGCCGAGGTGGGTGGATCATGAGGTCAAGAGATCGAGACCATCCCGATCAACATGGTGAAACCCCATCTCTACTAAAAATACAAAAAATTAGCTGGGCATGGTGGCGCCCACCTGTAGTCCCAGCTACTCAGGAGGCCAAGGCCGGAGAATTGCCTGAACCCAGGAGGCGGAGGTTGCGGTGAGCCGAGATCACGCCATCCATTGCACTCCAGCCTGGGTAACAAGAGCAAAACTGTGTCTCAAAAAAAAAAAAAAGAGCAAATCTATAGAAGTAAAAAGGAAGAAGAGTTATAGATGGGAGATACTGAGATGAGGGCCGAGGTGAGCACCCTTCAGGGTCCTGGTCTTCCTCTGAGCCGCTTTCAGCTGCTGTTTCTCAGCACTCAGGGTATAAAAGTTACTGGTGGCCACCAAAGAGTATAGGATTGGATGGTGCTCACAGCAGAGGGAAGGAGAATGGCATGTGTGGCTCTGGAACTTGGTGGGAGTTTGAGCAGAATTGGATGATCCAGAGAGGATTTTTTTTTCTTTCTTTCTTTTTTTTTTTGAGACAGAGTTTTGCTCTTGTCTCCCAGGCTAGTACAATGGCACAATCTAGGGTTACTGCAAATTCCGCCTCCCAGGTTCAAGTGATTCTCCTGCCTCAGCCTCGCAAGTAGCTGGTATTATAGGCATGCACCACCACACCCGGCTAATTTTGTATTTTTATTAGAGATGGGGTTTCTCCATGTTGGTCAGGCTGGTCTCAAACTCCCAACCTTAGGTGATCTGCCTGCCTCAGCTTCCCAAAGTGTTGGGATTACAGGTGTGCCTGGACCAGAGGGGATTTCTTGAGTGAAACAGGTTCTCTATTAAAGGCAGAGAAAAAAGAATATACAATGAGAAATACCCAGCTTTCCATCCAAGAGCTTGGGCATATATATACAATTTAGCTATTGTACAAGGTCCAAGAAATTAGCTCAGAGGAAGGAGTGAATAATCCTGACCTAAGGAATCGGGAGTGCTTCCAGGAAGCACTTTTTCATTCCCCCACTCCTCCCAAGCAGTGCCTCACCTCTGCCTTGTCTAGCTATACTGTGGAAAATTTAGAAATTTATGAGTGTAACACCAAGTATACCTATGGGAAGATTAGGAGTCAGAAGTCGAGTGAACCAGCCCACTCCTGTGTACTTTGCACTTTTTCATTTCCCTTAGTACCAGACGCTTTCATGCTTAATCCATAGCACAGCTGTCACAGTGAGCAGCTCTGACAATGACAGCTCCTACCCCAGAGGCCACCCCAAACATGGAGCTACAGGCTCCAGCTGCAGGAGGTCCTAATGCTGGCCCTGTCCCCGCAGCTGCCATGTCCACTCAGAGACTTCGGAATGAAGACTACCATGACTACAGCTCCACTGATGTGAGCCCTGAGGAGAGCCCGTCCGAAGGCCTCAGTCGCCTCTCCTCCCCGGGCTCCTACCAGCGCTTTGGTCAAAGCAACAGCACAACGTGAGTAGCTGTTACCTTCTCCTCTCCTGGGTGGGATTCCTGTTACTAAGTCTCCCTTGGACTTATTTTTCCTCCCCAGTTTCATCAGTCCTCCACTTTACAGATGAAGGTCAGCAATGAAGAGATTGGGCTCACGTGACTGTGCTGAGCTTTGCTTTCACCGGCTGCCACTCTCTAGCCCGTTTCTTATTCTTCGTTCCTTTCAGCTGTGTTGGCCCTACAAGGCTGGTGCCAACTAAGAGCTTGGACTTAAGAAAAGCTTCTACAGAGGACATTCTTTTAATTTAGAACTGTGTCATCTGTGCTAGAACCCCAAATACTCTCTAGGCATAATCGGAAGCTTCCTTTGCAAAAGACTTTGCAAACGACTTCTGCCCCATCACCAAATCACTATTCATTTGACTGAAGAAGCGGGAAGACAGAACAATTAACTTCTGCACTTAACAAATTCAGGGATTGGTAGGAAAGGAGAAGACAGGCTTTGCATTCTCCAAAGAGGGCTTATGTCTTGTCTCCAGAAAATGGAACCCCAGACTCATCTGGGCTGAGTTTGGCCCTCTTTGGGACTCACTTTCCCCAAATGTAAGGAAAAATTGAGGACTCCACTGTGAAGCTATGCTGGCTGTGTGGGGCTCACCACTTGAATTAGAAAATGCAGTTTTGCTACTCCATTGAGTTTCCCAGCTATTCCTGATCTCAGCAGACCTCTGACATTTCTCTGTGTCCCAGCATCCCAGCTTTTGCAGCCCTTCTGTTTATTCCTCAAGCTTAGCTATCACCTTTTCTGTGTTTCTGTGTGGATTGAGTGTGACTTACTGAGAGATCCTTCATGTCCTAGACTTATGCCATTCCTGACGACTGCCAAGCAGACCATGGAAGCTTCTCCTGGAGCTCATCACTGGAGAAGCTCCCTCTGCCTGCACTGTCTCCTGGTACAGGGCATTTTCTCTTGTGAACTGGGTTGGAACTAGAAGATGTGGTCTGTCTACATTCCTGGCCCATCACGACCACTAGCTGATTTCTATGCTCCAGGCTGGAAGTACTCAACCAGTCCTCTAAGATTCTGTTTCTGTAGCTTATTTCTCAGGTGGTATGCTTTTGTAGATTCCTCATTAGCCTGCAGTGGGAGTTAGCTGGTGGTAGATTGCTTAGAGCACAGCTGGCAGCAGTGTGGCTCGCCCTGCCCCTCTTTCCTCCGGCCTTATCAGCATTGGCAACCCCCATGCAGAAGCAGCTCCACACACAGCCAGTGGCATATCATGGCCTCCCGTCAGAGGTCATGCTGATTATTGTGAGATACTGCTAAGCTTCCCTCTCTGTAGTTTCCTTTGCAGTTTTTGCTCCTTTTTGATCTCAGATATCAACTTGTTAAGCAATACTTAGCAGAGGGGGTCTGGATTTTTCTTATTATGGAGACCTCTCTGAAGCTCAAAACTTAGCAACTAGCAACTTCAGGATAGTAGCTCATAGGTTTTGGACATGTGGAAGCTGATGCATGCCTATTAGCTATTCTGAATATCTCTTTTTTTTTTCTCTACATTGTGTTTTAATTAATGGCCAATTCAAAATTATGTCCTTGTTTCTTGGAAATCACATATCAGAAGATACCTTCCTCGGGCTTGTATTGTGACATTTTTCAGGGTGTACTTTGTTCTGAGGTTCCCTTCCTGCCCTGATATTGTGATACAATGTAGGTGACCAGGAAGGTCCATCTGTAGTTGATGGCAGGTATCACAGTCCCATCACAGGTTGTACAAGATAAAGTACTTTGAGGGGACCTAGAGTACTTCTAGCCCGGGGCATAGGATTGACACAAGCATTTATGTAGAAAACATACCAAGTATGATTAAGGTAGAGGTTGATTTGCAGAACCTTCGTAACCTAATTTAATCTTTTAATATGTAGGAAGTGTTAGGGATAAGTTTTTAAGCTGGGTTCCTTTTATATTTCTGCCTTTGCTTACCCTTTGATCCAGTTTGCCAAGTAACAAAATACATGGAAGTACTTCTACGCCTACTGCACGTTTGCATGCACACACCTACCTCTTCTAGAAATCAAGGGCTCAGTAAAAAACCCTAGTTAGAGGGTACAAATAGGAATGCCAAACGATTCCATGAATTTTTTCTTTTCTTTTCTTTAGATGGGTTCTTGCTCTTTTGTCCAGGCTAGAGTGCAGTGGCACAATCATGGCTCACTGCAACCTCTGTCTCCTGGGCTGCAGTGATCCTCCCACCCACCTTAGCTTCCTGAGCAGCTGAGACTACAGGCATGCACCTGGATAATTTTTTTTTTTTTTTTTTATAGAGACAGGGTTTTGCTATGTTGCCAGCTTGTTCTTGAACTCCTGGGCTCAAGTGATCTGCCCGTCTCAGCCTCCCAAAGTGCTGGGATTATAGGTGTGAGCACCATGCCCAACCTGTGAGTTATTTCTTAGTGCGTTCAGTGAGATTATTCACTAACATTTGATGTTTTCAAGCTATTGACTGCTTTGGAGACAGCCTCATTTTATGTTGTTGGGCAATTTTTTTTTTCTCGTTGCCCCTCTGAGTTCCATTATATATATCAAGCCTCTGTGCTTCTTATCCATGTCAAACGGAAACCAGCAGACTGAGACTGGCTCTCTAAAGGTGAGCTGGAGTAGTCATTTGCAAAATGTAGCCTGCAGATTTTTGGGGCTTCCAAAGACCATTTCAAGAAGTCTATGAGGCCAAAACTATCTGCATAATAATACTAAGATGTTGTCTGCCTTTTCACTTGTGGATATCTGTGCTTAGCTTTCATTAACTGCAAGTGAATTGCTTTCACTTGCAGTTAGCAAATATCCACAAGTGAAAGCAATGATGGGTAAAATCGCACTGTAGAATGAATCAAGGCAGTGGCACCAAATTATACTAGTTGTCATTATATTTTTCACTGCCACGCATGCGCAAAGAAAAAAGCCCTTTGTACTTAAGACTGTCTTTAATGAAACAGTCGGAATACTAGTATTTAAAAAATTGAGGCCCTTCAGCATAGGTCTTTCATATTCTCTGTGGCAAAATAGGAAGTACAGATGAAGTACTTCTGTAAGTACCAAAGTATATTACTTGTCTCAAGGCAAAGACCTTGAGTGATTATTTGAGTTGTCAACAAATTTGCTGCTTTTTTTTTTTTTTTTTTTTTTTTTTTTTTAAAAAAAAAAAAAAACAACTAACAAACTGTAGGTCAGTCAGTCAGAATACTTGCAAGACATTTTCTTGAAAGTGAAAGAAATATGCCCATCATCTCAAGGAAAACAATAGACAGTACATATCTGTTGCTTAGAATAAAACTCAAGCTTTCAAGCAAAATTAGAAAAAAAAAAAAAAACAAGTATCCAGTGCCATGGGCTTGATGGCCTCTCTACCTGGAGACTTTTCTGATGAGATCAGTGGTAATATTAATGAATGTGATTTTTTTTTTATTATAATGAAGATGTTAGCATTTGGAAGACCTGTATAAATTCAACCAAAGTGTGATGTTAGGAATTCTGCTTTGGGTAAAATATCCATTGAAAAAGCAAGATCACCGATGGATGGATGGATGGATGGAGACAGAGTCTTGCTCTGTCACCCAGGCTGGAGTGCAGTGGCACAACCTCGGCTCACTGCAACCTCTGCCTCCCAGGTTCAAACGATTATCCTGCCTCAGCCTCCCGAGTACCTGGGATTACAGGCACGGGCCACCACACCCAGCTAATTTGTGTATTTTTAATAGAGAAGGGGTTTCACTATATTGGCCAGGCTAGTCTCAAACTCCCAACCTCAGGTGATCTGCCCTCCTTGGCCTCCCAAAATGCTGGAATTACAGATGTGAACCATTGCACCCAGACCACATTGCAGGTAACTTCTAAAAAACTATCATGTGTGGCATTTTGGAGTCATGTCAAAGAAAAATTACTTTCATTGTCTGTGGCAGCCATTAAAATATTCCTCCTTTTCCAACCACATGTCTATGAAAAAACAATTTTTTTCATAAACTTCAAAAATAACATATCACAATAGATTCAACATAGAAGCAGGTAGTCCAGCTGTCTTCTAAGTGAGATATTAAAGAGATTTCGGGGAAAAAAGTGCTGTTCTTCTCACATTTTCTTTTTTGGAAAACAGGGTCTTTTCCATTAAAAAATTATTTGTATTAACATGGAATGAACTTACTGTTATTTTTAATTAAATATTTTTTTAATTCTCATTTTTAATTTTTAATATAGTATATACCAGCAGATGTAATTGACATCTGCTGCAAAAGCTATTTGGCATCTTTAGTGATTTATCAGAGAATAAAGGGGTCCAGAGACCAAAAAGTCTTAAGAATGAGTGATGGAGCATGAATGGAAGTACAGAGATTTGCTAGGCTCCTCCCTCCCCTTTTCAGAAAGATAGTCCATCCTTGTAGTTAAGACTTCACAGTTTACGGAGTTGATTTTGTGCATCTCACACAGTACTGGGTAATCCCAGCTTGGGGCCATCTATTAAAAAGAGTAATTTTGGTCAATTGCCTAGAGTCCTGGTGTTTCAGAGCTGCAGGGATCATGGAGATCATTTTGTCCTAGTCCAGTTCCCTCACCTTATGGATGAGACGGCAGGCCCGGGAAGGGATGGGAGGAATTGTCATATGAAGGTGGTGGCAGAGCTAGGGCAAGGGACCTAGTGTCCCATGATAGCCAGCTCAGAGGCATTTTGGGGAGGTCTCTGGTAGGTAGGTGGGTTTGATACAGTGCTTTGCCCTCAAGTGGATTAAACATTTGCCGAGATAAAAATTTAATAGACCCCATTATCTTGCAGCTACAGGCTACTGATAATGCATTTGCTGGTGGACACATGTAATGCTTAAGCTGTTTCCTTAGGATGTCCAGGAGAGCACTTAGCCTCTTCTCATGTGGAGGCAAAGTAGTTTTCTTGGTCTTTCTTGAAAAAGTTAGGTAAAGTAGGAAAATCACGAGATTTTTTCCCTCAAGGTAAAAGGAGAAAGGTTAAAGTGAAATTCTTTTCCAAAGAGTGTAGATGGGTCTTATTAATGGCCTCTATGAGTAACAAGTGTTATTTACTTTGAGCTTCTGGTGAATTGCAGATCTGAAGAAATGTGTGTAAATACCAGTTTTGAGGGATTTAGGTTATATGTGCAGTAGAACCACAGACAGTACCACGGGCCAAATTCTGAGTGATTTGGGACAGAGTGAAACTATATTTGACCTGTTTCCTGTTTTCCTGGAGGTAACAGTAGATAGAAATTGAAGACGAGACCACCCTTCTGTAGTCAGTCTTTTGATAAGTTCCTATTCCCTGCAGAAAAAAGAGAAACTTCCTGCCTCCACCCTCACCCTCATCCTAACTCTAATAACAAACGGCTAAAACCAACTACTACTCCTGATTCCAGTCCCAGGTCTCTCTCTAGGGCGTTGTTCCAAAGCCCTTCTCTTTGCCAGTGGTGTCTTTTTCCCCAGAAGCACATTTATAGTTCCTGCCTGTCCTGCTGGGCTCAGCTCAGCTCTTTCTTCTGTATAAAGCCTCACCTGCCTCCCTTCTCCCTGGTCTCTGTTCTTGGGTTTTTCTTAAAGATAAGAATCTATCTACCTTTGGTGGTTATTAATATGTTCCCTTATTTTCCTTGAAACATTATTAATTTCTAGAGGCTGAGAACCATAGCAGATTCATACTTATTTTCACCACTGCAGTTAACACAGTGCTTTATATGTGATAGATAGCATTTGTTGAGTGAAAAAATGAATGAGGAAGCATGAGAGGCTTTACCATCGTGGCATGAAGGGGACAGTTTGTACAAATCTGCCCTCATAGCAGAAGGGTAAATGAAGTGACTCTCTGAAAGGGCTTCTCTGATCCTAGGACACTATGGCATTAGACTTTTTTTGTTTTTGATACGAAGTGTATGTATTGTATGACTTCTGCATTCGGGGCTTCTGTTTTTTTGTTGTTTTTTAATTTCCTCTGTTCTGTCACCAGTGTTTGTCCATCATAGTTTGGGTTGTCATCCTCTATTGCAGTTTTGGGGTCTGTGTTTGTTTTTTTTTTTTTTTTTTTTTTTTTTGAGACTGACTTTTACTTTGTCGCCCAGGCTGGAATACAGTGGCATGATCTTGGCTCACTGCAACCTCCCCCTCCCAGGTTCAAGCAATTCTCCTACCTTAACTTCCTGAGAAGATGAGATTACAGGCGCATACCACCACACCTGGCTAAGTTTTATATTTCTAGTAGAGATGGGGTTTTGCCATGTTGGCCAGGCTGGTCTTGAACTCCTGACCTCAGGTGATCCACCTGCTTCAGCCTCCCAAAGTGGTGGGATTACAGGCATGAGCCACTGTGCCCAGTCAGGTCTGAGTCTTTACAGTGGGCAGTTCAGTGGTTAGAACCAGACTCAAATACCCTTGGAAAGGATAGTGTCTGGAGAGAGTCAGAGCACCCCTCTGATCTAAACTCTGAGAGAAGGAATTCTCAGGAATGCCACAAAGAATGGGGACTTACAGCACAGGGGATAGGAGAGGGAGCTCTGGAGTCAGACTGCCTAGATTTGAATCCTGCCTCAGCCCTTCACTAGGTGTGTGACCTTGAGCAAACCACTTTCTCATCCATAAAATAAAATCTTACAGGGTTTTTGTGGAAATAAAATGAGGTAATGCATATAAGCACTAAGAACTTAGTAAAAGTTAACTGTCATGGTTATCCTTTCCTTGTCTGTCTGTCACTTCAGATGGTTCCAGACCTTGATCCACCTGTTAAAAGGCAACATTGGCACAGGACTCCTGGGGCTACCTCTGGCAGTGAAAAATGCAGGCATTGTGGTAAGGGCCTGCATCAGTGGGGGGGAGTAGTGACAAATTTTAAGAGGTAGTTCTTTGTTGTTGTTAAAATGGGCTTGCTTTAAAATATTTTAAATAGAGAAGGATCTTTAAAAAATCAGTTGACAAAAAGCAAAATTCAGACATTCATTCACCTAAAGATATTTATTGAGAGTGCTCTGTGTGTTAGGTACCTTTCTAGGCTCTTAGAATACATCAGCGAATTAAAGAAAGATTCCTGCCCTCATGGAGCTTACTTCATGGTGGAGAGGATGTACTGAGATGGCTCATGCAGTTTCTGTCAATAATATGAACTAATGAGTTAGTTACAGATGTCTGCCCATTTTCTACACGGTCCCTCATGCCCTCTTCCTAAATGGCCAACTCCAAGAATCTTAGGTCTTCTTTTTATGATTCACTTCATGTTGACTGCCTGCCCAAAGCCATTCTGTTTCTTTTGGAGTTGAAGAGAGGCTCAGAGATGTGGGTTGCCCTTAGCTAAGTGCAGTCTTTCTTGATCTGGCAATGCTGTAAAGATAACTTAACCCCTCTCCCCCAACATCCCTTAGCCCATCTCTTCTTCCCACAGTCACGGGAGCCTTCTATTCTACTGAGTTGCCCCAGTCTTGGAACAGACTTATCTTATGTTCTTCTTCTCCACATGACTAAATGTCTTGAAAGTTCAGATAGCACCCATGTCACAGAGCTAATCTCCATGATCACATATCTCTCTCTAATGCTAGGCCCAAAGTTTTAACACTGAAAAGTGCCTTAGTAGCTTTTTAATCATTTGCAAACCGAGTATCCATCGGGTTCACTCATAATTCTACCTACTTGTCTCTCTCTCTCTGTTGCCTGCAACACCTGTTCCCAGATGGGTCCCGTCAGCCTGCTGGTCATAGGCATCATAGCTGTGCACTGCATGGGTATCCTGGTGAAATGTGCTCACCACTTCTGCCGCAGGTGAGAGCCCTCTGAACCACCTCTCAAGTGACAAATTGTCTTTTTGGGTTCTGTTATCAACCCTGAAAATGAGCACCGATGCAGACCATTCTCAGTTCTTCACACTGGCTGGAGGTAGCTGCTTAAGATTGCAGCGTTTCCTTCCCCTGGGTATCTTTGTGTTCTTTTCCAGCTCATTCTTATCTGTTAAATTTACCTATGCGCAGTAAATAGACACTGCATTCTAATTTCATGTGCCTTGTAATGTTTACTCCATTGAAATGATTCTACCAGATGGTTGTTAATTATGATAAAAGTAACCATCCTGTGGACTTAATACTTCTGATCTTTGAAAGCATGAGACACAGGACTCAGAGTGGTATCTCCAGGGTGACAGATGGGGACTGGCTCAGATCTCAGTGGCTCTATTTGTTCGGTCACTGTCATTGTCTAATCCACATATTCTGCCCTTCTTCTTCCCTCCTCCTCTTCCAGGCTGAATAAATCCTTTGTGGATTATGGGGAAACTGTGACGTATGGATTGGAATCCAGTCCGTGCTCCTGGCTCCGGAACCACGCACACTGGGGAAGGTAACTGATTTCCTCCTTCCTTTCAACGGCGGCCTCCCAGGGTGAGGCCTTCAGATGGGGAGGCCTTGTGATGTGGGAGACAGTGTAAAGTGTGGAAAGAGTGCTGTTTGCTGTTTGGGTCAGTTGCCTTGGGCTCTGGCTCAGCTCTGCTCGTTGTAAGCTGGGTGACCTGGGGCTGGGTAAACCCCTTTTTTTCCGGGGGCTTCAGTTTCATCAGGAAAGCACGGGACCTGGCCTGAATGATCTCTCGAGCCATTCCAGCTTTGTCAGTCTATGCCCAATGATTGTTTTTGATTCACTCATTTGCTCAACAACTGTATTTAAGCACTATCTTATAAATGGAACAAGACAGTTCTAGGTAAGAAGGGGAGATTTCCTGAAGTAAATTGTGTGATTCCTGCCCTGCAAGGGCTTCTGTAGTCTGTGTAAGTAAAAAGATGTCGAAAGAGAAGACAGAGAGCAAGATAAGGGACACCCAGAAGAAGAAAGTGTCATGAGCTAGGAGTACGTCCTCAGTGCTCAGAGAGGAAGGAACTTTAAAGATTCTCCTGTCGGCTGTGCCGGATGAGAAACACACATGAGAGCTGGGAGCAGAAAAGGCTTCAGGAGAAGGTGGAGTTTACGAGAACAGGGTGTGGAGATGAGTTTGGAGGTGGGAAGTGTTTGCAAATTTCTTCTTAAGGTAACTCTTAGTTGTTTGAAGGGAAATATTATTTCTGTTTTCTATATTTAAATGTAGAAAATTGATACTATGAAGGGCTAAAAATTCTTTTTTTTTGTTAAAAAAAAAAAAAGCCACATTAAAAGTATTTTCTCTAGAAAATTTCCTTTTTGTGGTCACAGGGGAAGCTTACCTTCCTTCCCAGTCACCTTTATCCTGTGGTGCACATTATCTAGTTCTTTTGGCCAAATTATCTTCTGTGACTGGGAGGAGCCAGATTGTCAAGTGACCACCATGAGTTGATTGGTTGTTAATTCGTCATTCCTTTCTTTTCTTACTGCTTCCTTCCTTCCTCCCTCCTTCCCTCCTTTCCTTCCTTCTTTTAATAAAATGTGTGCCATTTTAATGTGTGCTCAAAGTAAAAACTTTTCTGGATTAAGTTAGGACATAAAGTGAAAAGTAAAAGAAAATTTTGGTCCCAGTTGCATGGGTAGCCTTTTGGAATTTGCTGTATAAATAGAAACATACACATGTTCTTAAAGTTTTTGGTGCAGATTGAATATACTATGTATACTGTTTGGAAACTTGCTTTTTTCCCTTAAATGTCTGAGATGTTTTTCTCTATCAGCACATACAGATTTAACACATTATTTTTAACTGCTGTATAATGCTCCATTTAAGAATGGTCTATGATTTAATCCCTTTCCTTTTGATGAAACTCTAGGTTGTTACCAGCCGCTATTGTTCAACTAGCCATCTGTTTTTGGTATATCAGTTTCTGTGTCCTTAACGTGGGACTTGGCTGGCTCTTGTATCCAAGTTATAGAGACAGTGAAGGGACTACTTCCTGGCCTTTTATGTCAAGGGTTCCCTGTAACTTTAGCAAAAAAGTGTGAGATGGGCTAGGTGGGCAGATGTGTGGAGAGGAGGCTAAGGGTCATGGTATCTGTGCATGTGCCTGATCTCATGTAGCATTCCAGATGAGAAGCCAGGAAGGGGACCTCAGAAATCATGCAGCTAGCACCTCACTCACCTTCTTCCCGAAGCCCTAGACTGGTGGCACCTAGCATGGATTCTTCTCCTACCAGGGCATGCTCATCCTTGTCACCTTCTGGGAAGGGTCTGTGATGGCTTGGGGAAAGCACTGTTAAAAAAAATGGGTACAGTGTACACTGTTTGGGTGATGGTTACACTAAAAGCCCAGACTGTATCACTATGCAATATATCCATTTCACAAAACAGCACTTGTACCCCCTAAATCTATTAAAAAAAACAAAAACAAAAAAAACACCTCCCCTTCTGGGAGTCTTGCGTTTGTATTGTAACAGTCTTTGTATTCCTTCCCTCCCCATCTCCAGACATGTTGTGGACTTCTTCCTGATTGTCACTCAGCTGGGATTTTGCTGTGTCTATTTTGTGTTTCTGGCTGAGAACTTTAAACAGGTAGGCACTTGGTAAAAAAAAAAAAAAAAAGAAAAAAAAACCAAAAACAATGGGAGAGAGAATGGCAAAAGATGATTGAAATTTTTGTTTAGGATTTTTTCCAAACCAGCTTTTGTCAACAAAAACGTTGAAGTTTTAACACTTTACATAGAACCACATCTTCTGTTTGATTCTCATGGAAAAGAGCTAGGGCACAGAGAAACCTCCACATGTCTTATCCATCCTCCTGTCCTAGGTACCTGTGTTCAAACCTAGCTCAGACAATTGGGTTGCTGATGATAGTCATGAAGATCTCTAAAGAAGGCTCACTGGACACAGATTCTAAAAGGCCCTGTTCACACACCTGAACAGGAACCTCAGGAACCTCTCCCAGCAGAGGATCCGCCGGCCTTTGTTGTTTGAGAAGTGTTCCCGTTTTCTTCCTTCTCTTCATTCTAGGTGGTAGAAGCGGCCAATGGGACTACCAATAACTGCCACAACAATGAGACGGTGATTCTGACGCCCACCATGGACTCGCGACTCTACATGCTCTCTTTCCTGCCCTTCCTGGTGCTGCTGGTTTTCGTCAGGAGCCTCCGAGCCCTGTCAGTCTTCTCCCTGTTGGCCAACATCACCATGCTGGTCAGCTTGATCATGATCTACCAGTTCATTGTTCAGGTACATGCCTAGGCCCTCCCCTATTGTCTTGCTTCAATATTAAAAAAAAGGCTAGGCGCAGTGGCTCACGCCTGTAATCCCAGCACTTTGGGAGATCGGGGTGGGTGGATCACCTGAGGTCAGGAGTTCTAGACCAGCCTGGCCATCATGGTGAAACCTGTCTCTACTACTAGAAATACAAAAATTAGGTGTGGTGGCATGCACCTGTAATCTCAGCTGTTCGGGAGGCTGAGGCAGGAGAATTGCTTGAACTCAGGAAGAAGAGGTTGCAGTGAGCTGAGATCACCCTACTGCATTCCAGCCTGGGCAGCAAAGCAAGACTCTGTCTCAAAAAAAAAAAAAAAAAAAAAAAAAAAAAAAAAAATATATATATATATATATATATATATATATATATATATGACAAGTAAGTGGAACGTAAATAGTTATATGTTACTGCTGGTATGTTTAGGTTAGAGGTTCTTATCTTGGGCACTGTTGACATTTTGGGGGGGATAATTCTTTGCTGTAGGGCTGTCCTGTGCATTGTAGGATGTTTTGCAGCCTCTCTGGTCTCTACTCAGTGGGTGCCAGTCGCAACCCTTCCACGAGTGATGACAACCAAAAATGTCTCCTAACATTGCCAGACCTCCCTGGGGTGTCAAATCAGCCCCCACAGGGATCACTGGCTTAGACCTTTTTCAATTCCATGGTTAATTCATGATCACTTTATACAATTGGAAAATAGAGAAAAATATTAAGATTAAAATAAAAACTAAATGTTCTAACCTGTATTTAGATAAGTAATTCCTTATCAAATCCAGTTAATTTGTATTTGTCAAAATTATAAATCCACTTGTTCCCTGCCCTCACTCAGCCCATGTAGACAGGTCTGTGGGGTGGCATGAGAGAGAACATCTGTATACAGATGGATAGATGATCAGGCTGAGAAAAATATGCCCTTAAACACTATAGCTGTTTGTGAAAATGACAATGGATTTTCTAAGGCTTGAGAAAAGGAAAAGAAGTAAAAGCAGGTAAATAAAAGCGTATCTTTAAAAAAGATATTTTAATTCAATTCCCAAATAATTCATCAGTACATATTCATTAAACCACAGACAACACAAATACCTCTTGAATACCAAGTCTCCACCCTGAGTCTCCTCTTAGGGACCCGTTCTGTGTGATTGATCTGTCTCATTCTAGATGGTGTGAATGTATTTGCAGCCTCTGTAAGTATACGGAGAAATATGTTAAAATATATTTTGTTTTTATTTTTGAAACATAATTTTTTAACAAGCTACATGTTCATCTACCTTGCTTCTTCCCCCACCCTTAAAAATGCCTTAGCCAGCCTTCCAGGTTAATATTCCTGGCTCTACCTTGCTGTTAGTTGTCACATTGTATCACAGAGTAGAGATTTGCTGCACTTTTTTACCAGTCCCCACTCAGTGACTATCAGGTCATTGATAATTTTTAGTATTATTTCAGTATTAAGACAGTGAGATGTTCTTATACATTCCTTTCTGTGGACCTGTATAAATACTTTTAAAGACATTTGTCTAGATATGTAATTGCTGAAGAGTGTGCACTTTTGAATTTTTTTATGTTACCAAGTTGTTTTTTATAAAAGCCGTTTCCTAATTTCATAGAGACTCCCTTCCACAGTATTTAAGTGCCCATTTTTCCACCCTTACCAATACTGGATGTGTCAGTCTTTTTCATTTCAGTCAGTCTGACAGGCAAATATTATGTCATTTTCATACAGTCTGCTTAACAGTGACCTAGTTACTCACTGATGTAGTTTCCAGGAAAACAGTGGCACATAAAAAGCAGGACTTCCTGTGCTAAGCAAATGACATTATCAGTTTAGATTAGCATTGTCCTCTGTGAGTATTGAGTATTTTTTCATCACGGTAAGTCAGATAAGTGGCAGACATTGAATCTTCTGCAGAACTATTTTTTTAAACATAAAATAAATAATTCTGGCTGGGCACGGTGGCTCATGCCTGTAATCCCAGCACTTTGGGAGGCCAAGTTAGGCAGATCATGAGGTCAGGAGTTCGAGACCAACCTGACCAATATGGTGAAACTCCATCTCTACTAAAAATACAAAAATTAGCTGGGCATGGTGGTGCACACCTATAACCCCAGCTACTCAGGAGGCTAAGGCAGGAGAATTGGTTGAACCCAGGAGGCAGAGTTTGCAGTTGGCCAAGATCACACCACTGCACTCCAGCCTGGGCGACAGAGTAAGAGTCCATCAAATAAATAAATAAAATAGTTCTTCATGTCCATTTTTTTATGAGACTGGAAGGAGGGCCTGTGAATGCACGACAGACCATTTCCATTACCAAACAAGGAAGGGTAAATATTTACCCATGATTTCATGTTGTAATTAGAGCTCTCAAGTGCACCTAGGATACACTCCAGTAGACATTAAAGATGAATTGAGTGAGGCCACCCCCCCCCATAGATAGGCACACCTGCTGCATTTAGTTTTAAGTCGTTGCAGGTAGTTGGGCTGTGGTGGTTTCTGTGGTCATAGGGCTGGAATAAGGATTTGGGTTCTTGCAGCATCTCAGTCCCAGCCAACTGGTAGTATCCTTCCAGAGTTATGTCTGTGCATAGTACAATCAGCACACAGAGTAATGTCTTCAAAGAAGAAGCCCTGTTGATTTCTTGAGAACAACTGCAGGTCTTCCTCTGGCTTTAGCCAGAAGTTGTGCTATGATCAAGTAGTGCCATCTGCCCAAGTAGTGCCATCTGCCCAGAGTGCAGCATGGGGGAGGGGGTTTGGCTGTGTTTTGGTGTAGTCACTGCCCATAGTGTTGTCAGTGCTTCATTTGGATGTGCCATATGGCTAAAGATGCTCTCTCTAGGTCATTTTTGTTGCTTCTGCCTCTGCTGCTTGTGACTACATTTTGCCCCACTTACTATGAGGATTCCCCTACTGTTGGATGTTTCTGAATTTTTCCCTCATCTAAGCATGCATATGACTGCTCCTCTTGCCCCTCATGCACGTACCACTGTAGGTAGCAGACCAAGGTCTTCCACCCCTCTGTTTTCAGCTTGGCAGAGTGCCTTGCACAGAGGGGGGCTCCCAATAAATGTTTTATCACTGCATAGCCTTGCTTCAGATATGTATTTTTTCCTAGTTATAACAGTTTCAGAATTGCAAGAGCACATCTCATAATCCATGTGTACATTTAACAGCATTTTCTCAAAAAAACTTACTATTATAATTGATAATATGGTAAGACCTCACTTAACATCATTGATACGTTCTTAGAAACTGCAACTACGTGAAATGATGTATAGCGAAATCATCTTCTTTCTTCATCAATGTTATAACAAAACAACGTTGAAGGAAATGACTGTACATTATTTCACCTAAAGTCTCAGTTTCCAAGAACCTATTGATAACAATGAAGGACTTACTGTGTTGTAGAATTGAGGAGATATGTTGATAATGAGCTGATTTTAAAAAACATGTATGTTTCTTTATAAATTATACTTTTATCATTTAGTTGGTCAGGTGAGTAGCAATCAGTAAGTATGTAGAATAATATACTCCTGCTGGCCTCATTCCCACAATATCCCCAGACATGGATTGTGAAATTCTCTGGCTGATACTTGAATCTGCTCTGATGTATGAATAAGAGGAGGAGTCATCCACTAACCAACAGGTAGCACCTATTTCCAATAACTTATGTTACATTTGTGACTCAGGAATAAATACAGGGCAGTCTTGCTCTCAAGTCCCATCGTAGAGCAAAAATACCTATTAGTCTGTCTCCATTCCAGGTATTGAAATGCTTCTTACAAAGATCTCTAATGGATTTCTTAGCAGGGGCACGGGGAAACGTATTTATTTAATTTTTTATTTTTTCAAAAGCAGTATTGCTGCTTTGAAATCTTTCAAAGAGAAGTCTTATAGAGATTAATAATGGACCTCCTTTTACTTGCCTGAAATCATTCTGAAACCCGTTGAGAGCATGCCTCATATCTAAATATCCATATAGTTAAATCAATTTTAAAACATTGTAAAAGGCTATTTTAACATCAATTTTTATTTTAATCGATGCAACATATGGATGTGGTTTGAAAAGCCAAATTTTAAAAAGACAGCAGCTTTGAATCCCCCCTTCCCACCCTGCTCCTTCCACATAGTCTGGTACTGGAGACTGTTGTTTGGTGGAGGATTTTGTGACTATACTTCTGTTAGTCAGGGTTCTCTAGAGGGACAGAACTAATAGGGTATACGTACATATACAGGGAAATTTATTAGAGTATTAACTCACATGGTTACAAGGTCCCACAATGGGCTGTGTGCAAGCTGAGGAGCAAGAAAGCCAGTCTGAGTCCCAAAGCTGAAGAACTTGGAGTCCAATGTTCAAGGGCAGGAAGCATCCAGCACAGGAGAAAGATGTAGGCTGGGAGGCTAAGCCCGTCTAGCCTTTTCACGTTCTTCTGCCTGCTTTTTAATCTGGCCATTGGCTGAGCTGGCAGCTGATTAGATGGCGCCCATCCAGATTAAGGGTGGGTCTGCCTTTCCCAGTCCATTGACTCAAATGTTAATCTCCTTTGGCAACACCCTCACACACACACCAGGAATAATACTCTGCATCCTTCAAACCAGTCAAGTTGACACTCAGTATTAACCATCACAACTTCCTTCCTTATACAACATTAGCATTGTACCTGCAGTTAACAATTGCCTTTTTTTTGGCCCATTTCTGAAAACATTCTTTTTGCTATTTCTCTCCACATGTTCCAACACTTCTGTTGTGTGCTTCTTGGTAATACTTTCAAAGTGCTTAAGCTGATTGATAAGAATTTTAAAAAGGAGAAGAACAGAAGAGGAAAAAGGAAGATAACCAATCTAAAAATTTATTACTTTCTCTTCCCTTCCAGCTTTATCGTTGGTGTTTGTATAGTTGTATCACAGTGAATATATAAATTTAAAAATTTTTTCTCACTAATATTTCATAAGTAGATTTTCGTGTTCTACCTAGTTATCTCAATTTTTACTTTTTAATAGTGCATACTGGCCAGGTGCGGTGGCTCACACCTGTAATCCCAGCACTTTGGGAGGCTGAGGCAGGCAGATCACTTGAGATCAATAGTTCACAGATAGCTTGACCAACATGGTGAAACCCTGTCTCTACCAAAAATATACAAAATTAGCCAGCTGTGGTGGCATGCACCTGTAGTGCCAGCCACTCAGGAGGCTGAAGCACAAAGAATTGCTTGAACCCAGGAGGCAGAGATTGCACTGAGCAGAGATCTCACCACTGCACTCTGGCCTGGACAACAGAAGGAGACTCTGTCTCTAAATAAATACATAAATAAATAGTGTATATATTCTGTGGTTTAGCTGGTATGTTGGTAACTACTTAACTGATCCCTTGTTTGGGAACATTTATGTTGTTTTGAGTTTCTTTATTAAATAGCTTTGCTCAATATTTTTCATCTTTTGACTTTTTTTCTAGTTGAATTCAGTTTCTGAGGATGGGATTACCTACTGAAAGAACGTGACTCTTTTTATGCAAGCCCCAGCATTTGAGTTATTAATAGTATCTTGGGCTTGTGTTTCCCCCAAACAAGTGGGTTTTTCTGAAGAGAAAAACATGCAAAGGTTAAATGTCCCTAAATCATCTGTCAGGTATTAGACTTTCTTCCTTAAGAAAATCTTGGATTTGTTAAAAAGTGTGACCTCTCAGATTCAGAGTTCAAATCTCTAATTTCTGTATAATAGTTTGCTTTGTTTTGCTTTCTCTGTTTCAGAGGATCCCAGACCCCAGCAACCTCCCCTTAGTGGCCCCCTGGAAGACTTACCCTCTCTTCTTTGGCACAGCGATTTTTGCTTTCGAAGGCATTGGAATGGTAAGAGCTGCACTGTGATTTGGGCCAGTGTTCTCTAGTGCCTTTGGTGTCTTCCAGATCTGTTTCAAGGAATGCTGAGGAGACACTGTTAGAAATTATCTTCTGAGGCCAGGCATGGTAGCTCAAGTCTATAATCTCAGCACTTTGGGAGGCTGAGGCCAGTGGATCCCTTGAGGTCAGGAGTTCAAGACCAGCCTGGTTAACATGGTGAAATCCCGTCTCTACTAAATATACAAAAATCAGCCAGGCATGGTGGCAGGCGCCTGTAATCCAAGCCACTCAAGAGGCTGAGGCAGGGAAATCACTTGAACCTGGGAGGCGGAGGCTGCAGTGAGCCAAGATCATACCACTGCACTCCAGCCTGGATGACAGAGCAAGACTCTGTCTCAAAAAAGAAAGAAAGAAATTATCTCCTGTGACTCACTGGTCAGTTAGTGAATAGTGTTTCAGGGATTCCATTGAGATTTCCCAGCTCCAACTTTTCAAGACAAGTTATATATAATTTAAAAATGTTTACATTCAAGGCCCCTTCATTGCACACTGATCTCCTATGTGTGTAGTAAGCAATAGTACATGGTAATCAGAAAGGCAGGGTTTAGGTCTAGCAGCTGTGTGACCTTGAGCAAGGGCTTCAGCTCTTTGAGCCTTCATTGTTCCTAAAAAGTGAGCTTAATGATTCACAGTTGTTAGGATTCAATGACATATGTGCAAAGTGCTTTGTGCAGACCCTGACACATGGTAAATATTTAATAGATTTTTATTTTATTAATATTATTGATTTTATTATTGAATCAGTAAATGTATGAATAATTTCTCTGCCCTAAAACATTGTATTTTCTGCATGTAAAAGAACAGCCTTCACTCCGGGCTCAGCATCCTGTGATTTCACCAAATGCTTTTCCTAAAGAGGCATCTACTCCTCCATCTTACCTAATTTGAATTTTCTTTGTATTTTTCATAATAATGGTACAGAACTCTTCTCTGAAGAGTTTTTCATTCCTAGCCAAGGGCTCTGCAAATGGGAAGACTCTCCTGTCATAGCACTTCTTTCTCTTTTTTGACTTCCCAGACACTTTATCTACTTTTAAGAAAACCTAGAAGCTGTGCAGATTGTTTTGTCAACATCATGAGGAATCACCCAGGTGGTGCTGATGAAACACACTGAGGCTCTGACATCATGGGGGAGGCTTTGGGAGTGATCACATGTAAATCACTGATCTCCCTGAGGTTTTATACCTTGCCCTGTGCTCTTTCTTGGAGTCTCTCATTTCCCATGAAGACTGTCTTACTTAATTCAGAAACACAAATGGTTGCCTGCTGCTGGGGAAGAGGCCTGAGTGGCCCTATATTTCAGCAGTGAGAAAGAGATCCCAAGATCTCAGAACTTGAAAGAAGAGTCTGAGAAAGTGTGGAAAGATGCCTAGAGACTTTGGGTTCCTAAAGGACCTTGTACTAAGTTTTTAGTAGCTTACCCAAACAGCACAGCGCAGAAGTTGTTTGCTTGGTTTCATTAGCCAAGACTTGTACACAAAGTTATTCTGCAAACATTATCAGGATTTGCATTTCTACTTTTTAAAGAGAACACTGCTAGATTGACTCTTAGTTTTGGATCTAGGGCTTGTTCATTGCATCCGGGTGGAAGTGCCAGGCTGCACATTGTGTATTCACCATGTGCTCTGTGTTCATGCAGCTGTCACAGGCCCGATAGGACATGGAGGAGATGGGCTTCCTGCTGTCTGGCTCTTTGTACTCTTGGTACGAAGGAAACTGACAGATACATTTAGAAGCTGTTTCTAATGGATGTGGATTAACTGAAGCTGGAGCAGGTGGTGGGAGACACTCGGGGCCCCTGGGAACACCAGTCCTGCAGCAGGATCGTGGTGTTGGTGTGTGCAGCATAGACCTGTTGTGCCTCGTGGCCACAGGCGCTGCAGGAAAATAATTGTAGTGACAAGATCAAGGTTTGTGGCACAGCGAGATACTGCCCAGTGTTGCTCTTCCTCATTAGCTGTGCCACATCCAGTTGATGGCACACTGTGAAGATCCTCACAGTCGTACCTGCTGTTTTCCCAATTCCTAAATAAACTCATTTTCATAAGGTGTCTTTCCCTTAACATTCTTCGAAAGTTAAAGAATGTCCTATGTTATAGGTCAGTGGTTTTTAAGAGGAGTCTGGAAACTGGGCATTGCTAAGTACCCAAGTGTTAAGATCCTCTGTTATCGCACTGCAGTTTCTCTAATGTGGAGGTTTAACTTGTCACTGCTCATGCTTTCCCCTATTGAGCTAGAGTGGCAGTTTTCCCTGACCTATATTTTGCATTTTTTAGACAGGTTAGCAGGAAGCTATAATCTCAGTTAGCTGCCAGGTGGGCATGACGTGAGAGGGCCTTCTGGTTGCCATGTGGCCTAACTCATAGGGCAAGGGACATTCTCAGCCTGCAGGGATGCTGGAGCAGGAAGACAGAGCACTGGCTTGAGCCAGGAGTCCTGGGCACTTGCCCTGCCCACCCTTACTTTTAGGACTTCCAGGCTAGGAAGGGAGGTGTGAGTCCCTTCTAGTCCCAAGAGTATAATGTCTGATGAAATAACTTTATTTATATAGCAGATGTGCTTCTGGAGAATTCTGGGAAAAAAAGAGTTACTTTTTTTCTGAGGATTTTTTTTTTCTTGGCCATTAACTTTGCTTTTATCTGCTTCTCTGTCACTACTCTCTCATAGGTTCTGCCCCTGGAAAACAAAATGAAGGATCCTCAAAAGTTCCCACTCATCCTATACCTGGGCATGGCCATCATCACCATCCTCTACATCAGCCTGGGGTGTCTGGGGTACCTGCGATTTGGAGCTAATATCCAAGGCAGCGTAACCCTCAACCTGCCCAACTGCTGGTATGTGGGGGAGGATGAAAACCTAGGAGTCCTGGATATTTAAAAAACTGAAGGGGCAGAGTGTGGATTCTTCCTCTTACTTGTCCCTTAAACTTCACTCTAGCCCACCATCCCCTGCCACCACCAGCCCTCACTGGCTGCCCTGGACTTCATTCTGTTTGGGTAATTCATGCAGAGCCTTCTGCCGAAGCCATTGGCTGATCAGCCGATGGATAAGCTATTTCTCCTTGGAATTCCTAAGCCCAGAAGGACTGAGTATCCAGTCTGTTCACTGTAAACCATTCCAAATGGACAGGGAGATGGGCAGGCAAACCTGGATTTGGTTCCCAGCATCCGTTGTACCTCTTCCTTGGTAGTCACAGGCTCGATACACAGGTGGGAGCATCTCACTGTGGGCTGGGGATTGTTGGGAGTCCTTTCTTACCTCTCTTGCATTGGTGAATGTATTATAGAGAAAGAGTGAGCCACATTGAAATGCTTCCTAAAAAGGTAGGTGTCCCAGGGCATGTGCTAAGCAACCATCCTGTTTTGAAGATGAATCATCTCATTGTGGAGAGCAGCTGTTAGCAGAATCACCTTTTATTCTAGGCTGGCTGATCTGCCTGGGTGTGCTTTTTATTTTGTTTTATATTGTTTATTTTATTACGTTTTTTAAGTCAACAGTACTCAGTATTTCCAGGGGGTTTCCCATTCAAGTATGAACCAAGCTTGACCCTGCTTACCTTCCAAGATCAGATGGGATTATCTTCCAAGATTCAGAATGGTGTGGCTATAGACCTGGCTTCGATTTTTCTTTTTTGAAATTATTTTTAAGTTTGTTTTAACTAGTAAGGCATACTAATCATATATACTTATGCAGTGTGTGTGACATACATATTATAATGTGTAATTATCAAATCAGGGTAATTGGCATATCCCTCCAGTGCCTACTTTTAAATTTTCAAATGTTTCTGCCCTTCTAAGAAGTAAGAGGCAGGTTCTAGCTTGGTGTAACTGTGTCACCTTTCCCTGGAAGAGAAATGGATCAGGAGCAACAGAAGCAGCCCACATGATCTGAAGCCATAGAGGAGCATCTGTCTTCTTTCCAACACCCCAAACCCAGCTGCTCTACACTTTCTGCTTCTATTTGGGTATAATTTATTTGACTGTCCCTGCAGGTGTCACTCTCCTGAGTCCAGATTTCATGGCTCTCCAGAGGCTTTGGGGCTGCTTTGAGTTTAATTATAGAGCCACCAGATGATTTTTCCAAAGAGTTTTTATTATCTATTCATGGAGCAAGTATGACCTTTTTCCAAACTCAGTCTTAACAAGGTTTTTCTCCTGCTTATAGCATAAGAACAACTTCTAGGTTTTTAGTTCAACCACAGAGAAGTTCAATGCACATATACACATTCTGTATTACCACATTTAAATAGATTTCCAGCAAGCGAGGACAAATGTTTCTTGCTGCTTAAGCACAAGGGTCTGGTTTAAAGTGGAGCTTTGCTTAGGGACAGAGACCTTTCCTTTCGGTGACAAGGTCAATTCTGTAAGTTGATCACAGACTTTTTTTCTACTCTGTTCTGTCAGAGCACTGGAGTGATAAAATAGGGATGTCCCGTGGTGAGTCACGTCTTTTTTGGAAGCTACACATGAAGCAGTAATAGGAAGACAGCCGTAGTGGTATGGAAAGATGGAATTCTTGCTCCTGCCTCTTGGTCCTGCAAGGTCTTCATCTAATTCTAGGGACACTGACTTGGGTGGGACCGATAAAAATGGGCTTGTTACATTTTAATTGCATTTTTTGTTTTTGTTTTTGAAGGCATATACACCCATATGCCCATGGCAGAGATTCAGATTTTCAAAAAGTATACAGAGAACATCAAGTTTCCACCCCTCACCCTCCACTCTCGTTCCCAATTTTACAATTTCCCATTTCAGAGGCAACCATATTCCCAGTTTCTTATGTTTTTTCTGAGATGTTTAGTGTATGTAAGATTGTCCTGTGGGGGCAGAGTGTGGTTTTTCTCCTCTTTTTCCTTTTTTAAGACAAATTGTAGCACTCTGTAGATACTGTATTGCTTCATGCTTTTTCTCACTTAAAAAAAAAAAAAGTGACATAAAACTGTCCCCATGATGGTGATATACTATATCAAGTGATATAGTGATATATCATGGGGACAGTTTTATATCACACCTAGAGTTCTGCCTCATATTTTGTTAAGAGCTATATGGAGGCACCATGATTTATCTGACCAGCTCCTACTGGTTAATATTTAAATTGTTTGCAGTCTTTCCTTCTTAAATAATGCTGCAGTTAGATATTTTGAATGTAAGCTTTTGTGTACTCGTGCAAGGATATCTGTGAGATGAAGTTGAGATTGCTGGGTCCGAAGGACGTGTGGATTTGTGGCCTTGCTAAGTGTCAACAAATCGCATTGGGACCATTTTGCACCCTCGCTGATTATGTGCAAGTGTGCTGAGCAGGCTTTGAATGTCTCCTGTCTGTCTGGGCAGGTTGTACCAGTCGGTTAAGCTGCTGTACTCCATTGGGATCTTTTTCACCTACGCTCTCCAGTTCTATGTCCCGGCCGAGATCATCATCCCCGTGTTTGTGTCCCGAGCTCCAGAGCACTGCGAGTTAGCGGTGGACCTGTTTGTGCGCACAGTGCTGGTCTGCCTGACATGTGAGTAGAAGGTGATAATTACCTTGTTTATTTTTCCCTAAAGGGCACCCGGTCTCCAGGGCGTGCATGAGAAAAGACAGGATGTGTTGTAGTGAAGCTGCCTATGTTTGTGAGCAGAAAACCTGACCCATGGCCTCACTTGCAGAATTAAGGCACCCCCCAATGGGGAAGAGAATTAATTATATATGTACCATAAAGAACATGGGAATGAGGACAGTGGTTGATTTATAGATAGAGTATGAAATGCTGTGGAGATGGTTATCATTCAGAGGAAGACATACAATTACTATCCCATATTAAATAAGGTAAACGTCTGAAAGCCATTTAACCCACATCTATAATGAGTGTAAGTTACTTTGATGCAGCGTACTTGTTTGCTTTTTCAAATAGTTTCTCCAGTGTGACAAGTTACTCCTTAGATTTCCTGTAGAGCCTGTGTGACACTATTCTAGACAGTTTTTAATGTCAGTCTTACTAAATATGTTTCAGAAAATTTCTGTTGATTAACCTAGGTGTTTGATTGATCGCTGTGCTTTATTCTTTTCCCAACCCCGTGCCAAAGAGTGTTAAGTTAAAAGATGGGATATCCTTCTGTTTGAAATGTTGAAAACTGGTGACATTTAGAAAATAAAAGTAAATTATTTTTTTGTAGCTTCTGTGAGTTGGTAGACTAGAGAACCCCTGAACAAGTCGATCTTTAATAGCTAAGTTAAATTTCTAGGAGATTTGCAATTGTTTTCCAAATTGAAATGCTTAAAGCATAGATTTCTCTTTTTGGCTCTATGTGGCTTTTTTGTTTTTTTTTTTTTTTTTTTTGGTTTTTTTTTTTTTTTGGTTTTATTCTTTTGGAACAAGACTCTCTTTGCTTATTATATTGAGACTTCCCTGAGGATTTTCTTAAATTATTCAGTCTGAGCCTCTGTCTTTGGAATAAAGATAGATCCATATGATTTTTTAATTCTCGTTAGGTTTGAATGTTTTAAGGATGAAAGCTGGGAATGTTGTCTAGCATTTGCGCTGAGTCAGTCTTTCAAGCCCTCTGGTAGACCAGCCTATAGAAACAGCCCACACAGCGACTAATCCAGGGCCCAAGGCTGTTGAAAGCAGCTGCTGTTCCCACAGCGACTGAAAAAGATGGAACATGATGTATCCTGCTTTTCTAGTAGATTGCCTTAATGTGTGCTGGTAAGATGGGATACTTGGACTCTAGATTTTAATCCTGTCTGTGCCAGTAACTCTCCATGCTTTCATTCCAAAGTGTATGTTTCCACAATGGATGGATTAGCTCTAAGTGCTGAGGAGACAGCTTTCACGTGTACGGTATTTATAATGTAAACTCTGAGGGTCCAATTCTTAAATCCAGAGGGTACTGGAAGAAAGAATGTGGTTAGTTCAAATAATTTGCTTCTTTCCAAAGTGTTCCCTCCAGAAAAAGTAGATCTCTCTAGGTAAAATGCTCTGTCCTGACTAACCAGCTCCTCCTCTCTGCCTATTGAGCTGGGGCAGTGACTGGGAGCCTGACTCCTCTCCCTGCCCCATTTTCCGCTCCAACCTGGCTCAGCCTCCCTGTAGCATATGTCACGCTTCCTGCCAGGCTTATTTCTGCAGCGCCCTGCAGGAGACAGCAGTCTCTGATTCACAGACCTCATGCTATCCTTAGATGCCTCTTGGTTTTTGCTTCACTTTTCCTGGCCCTGTCTGTAAGTCTTATCTCCCTTCTACAGCATGATACTCAGAAGACATGGCTGCTTTTGATCTTCAAGGGCGTGCCGTTGTTTTTCCCTTCTGTGATCTATTGTGACTTAGCCCTGCATTGCCATCCTCTTCAAAAAGGCAGCTCCCTTTATCTCTGACAGCACTCGACTCTCTCGCCTTCCTTGGAGACTTTGAAGTAATTGTGGGACTCAGTAGAGGCCTTTCATGGTAGCAGCAACTTAAATGTATTTATGCGAGTCTACCTCTGTTCTTTCAGCTCTTTCGGCACCGTTGATTGGCATGTGATTTTAGATCTTTAACGTAATTGATTTTTTTTCCACTTATAAATTTTATCAGCAGCTTCTTTTATTGCTATTTCTGGTGTTTTCCTATCTTTTCCCCAACTTTTCCTCCTCCTCTTCATCCTCCAAGGGGAACAGAAGGAATTTGGTATAGCTTCATTTTTTCCCCCTTCTTAGAATTCAACTTTCTCCCTGATCTCCCCCATCCTCCAAAGATTACTATGGCTGATACGGACTTTGTAGATGCTGAGTTTCAAACTGCTGGAAAAGAGGGGCAGGGAAAACAAGTATTTCATAGAATAGTGTTAATTGTGTTATGATTTCATATCGGACAGTGTCTACTGCCAGCCCATATTTTTGGAAATGCAGTCTTAGCAGGTCACCTTATATCCATACCTTGTGTGGAAGAGGTTGGCTCCATCTGGCAGAGTCTGGAGTTGTAGGATCAACGGCTTTTCATATTTCTTTGGAGCAATCACCCATCCTTCAGTGATTCCTACTCATTCTCTATGGCATTTGCTGTGTGAAACATTTTACTTCAGTTTGCTATGAAAATTTCAGAAACCTAATTTTGAAGACATAATTACATAAAATCGCATCATTCAAGAAGCCTGTTCAGACTGGAATGCAGAGCGTCAAAACATTCCAGGCAGTCAGATTTTTAGAGGATGAAGCTTCCGGGTCCAAACAGTAGCTTCTTAGTACCTTTGAGCCGTTTACACCTTTTAGTCTTGCAGCTACAGTGGAGAAGAGCAGCACCATTAATTAGCTGTGCCACCCTGGGTTCCCCAGGAACCCGCTCACAAGGTCTCGGGGTGCTCAACTGTAAGGAAAGATGTCTGATCTCCAAGGCTTCTCTCACCTCCAAAATTCTGTGATTCTGTACAGCTGCTTTGAGCTTAATTTTAAGTTTCTACAAAAATATTACTCTAAAAAAAGAAAGTCAATATAAAAACATTTGGAAATAAAAGGAGGAGAAATGCCAATATTCCACCAATTTAACAAAATAATTCTTTTTCATTGTATCTTCTGTGTCGTAATCCTCATGGTTGCATTGTAAAAACAGTTACAATTGTAGTTTACACATAACTTTGTCTTTCACATTTTATTTACTTTTATGTCACAAATATTCATATCTTTCACTCATATTTTTGTGACCTCATGGTATTCCACTGTATTGGTGGATCATATTAGCTAAGGTACTCCTTTAATGTTGGACATGGAGGTTGTTTCCCTTGCTTTTGTGTTTTTTAAATGTATACCTCCACTAAGTCAAAAGTCGTATTCTGTCCAAGACGCTTGTGAATTTTAAAGGCATAGTTACAGACATTTAAAAGTAACATGGTAGGTTTGAACAGCTTTGATCATGATAAAATAGGAGCAAGAGCTCCCAGCACAGGAACTGTAAATGGCCAGCGTATTTCCTAAGTGTGTGTATGTTCTTTTCAGTGCTTTTCTCTTGTCTTGTGCATAAGTCAGCTCTTTCTGATGCTGGTTCAAAACCACAGGCTCCAGAATCCAGTTCCTTCTGTGAACATGACTGTTGACCATATGTTGCTTCAGCAGTTTAAAAGGTCATATTCTTCATGTCTCTTCAGCCGAAGGGAAGATGTTTTGTAATACTGTTGGAGCCCTCTTGACTAATCATGTGGTCTAGCTCAGGTTGTCCTCTGGCCCCTTTTTGTACATGCCACAGCTGAGCTGCTGCTGAGAGGTGTGTAACTACAGTGGGGAACACACGGTCTTCCTCTTTGTCTGGGCTGGGTCTTTTTGTGTTAGGGGCAGGGGATTAGAGGAGAGTGGGGAGAGGGGTATTCCTGGCGGTCTGCTTCCTGACATCTCTACCTTGTTGAGTTTCTCTTCATAGGGCAGTTTTAACTCACAGAAGACAGTTAGTGCCAGAAGGGGTTTTATTTGCCCCTCATGTCTGAGTAGTTGATTGCTGCGCTGGAGTTAAAGTCATTTCCCATGGTGGCCAAACAGATACCCGTGCTGTTGAGCCCTGGGGGCTGTTTATGCTAATTTGGTTTGGACATCCTTCTCTTCTTCCCACTTTACATTAGTGGGAGCCTCGCTCTTCTTGTCCTCTTCAGTGTCACACCTTATGTAGAATTCAGTGGCGGTATGTGGTTCAACCAGGAGAGGAAGAGGGACTTCCCTTTGCAGCCCTGTGGTCTGGGCTTTAAGAGGAGAGAAATGTTCTTAAAACCTCTATTAAGGATATTTTTATTAGGCATATTTATCTTATGTAGTGGTGAAAACAAGAACAAGTTTTTAGAGTACTTATAAAATACCATGACAAAGTGAAAGATCTTTGTCCAGAGGAAAATTCTGATCTCAGGCTCCTGTTTCTGTTTCCACTTAACTCTCACACAGAGTGGAGCATCTCTCCGACTCCACTTAACTGTCATGAAGGACCCATATGCCCTGCTAGGTCAGTGTGGGAGAGGCTGGGGAAAGGACAGACTGTCAGGGCTTCGAGAGGCTCTGATTTGTCTCCTGCTGGAGGCTCATTTTCTCTGATAATAAAGGCCTCCTGTCTCTTGAGTGGGCTTCAGCATTTGTGGAGATGCTCTTGTGGCTGTCACTGAAGGAATAACTCACACTTTCTTTATCCATACAAAACCGGTTGGGTTAGAAGCTCCCTTTTTGGCAAGCCACGTGTCCCAGGAAAGGAATTCATTCCATCGCTTTGCTGTGCCACCTCAGGCAGCACATGGTGCTTCCCAGTTGTCAGCGAGGTGAGGGACATATCCCACAACACAGTCCTAAGTGACTAACACTGGCATGTGTAGTTCCTTAAAATTTCAGAGTTGGGCGAGACTTCAAACGTCACCTAGTCACCACATTTCACAGGTAAATGAATGAACTGAGGCTCAGAATAGTAAGCTGACTTGCCCTGCACCACTCAGCTTGTTGGGGAGCAGCAACTGGTGATAATATTGAAGCATTTATTACTGGTTTTTGGAACTCTGAGTTCTTTACATGAGGGATATCGTTTGACCATCCTGTTTAGCAGCTGGGGAAATGAGTCTCAAAGAGTTTAGGTAACTAGCCACTGAGTGGTAGAGCTGAGGTCAGAGCCTGGGCATTCCAAACCCAGAGCCTACACCCATTCCTATACCACCCTCTGCCCAGGGCTCAGTTCTCCCAGTTGTGGCCTTAGTGCAGTTTCCACCCCACGGTAACACCTGGCAGCAGCACTGCAAGGATGACATTAGGCAGGGAGACCCAGACCCCAGAGAGGGCAAGTGTCTTGGTTGTTGGTACCACAGCAGACTGGCTCTTTTGTTGAGTGTTAGGTGACCTATGATGAGAATGCTGTTTTGTCATCAGCCTACAGTTTTTACCTCCAATTTTCTCCATATTCAACCCTCAAGGTTTGGGGGATGTCACCAACTCTGTTTAGAAGCAGCTAGGAGCTGAAAACATACTGTTTTTAAGTTGCAGGGAAATTAAAAGACTAAACTTTTTGCACACTTCTCAGAGCCTTGAGATCAGTGAAGATGTTAATGAGAATTGCCATTATGGTTGATTAGTAGAAGAAGGAAAGATGAAGAATTGCCCCAGAGTACAACACTGTGGCCAGGTGGATCTGAGACTCGCTTTGCTGTCAGGCTTTGGATCCCTTGTCCAATTCTACTTTATTTGTTTTTATGGCTCCTCAAAAATCAACTTCAGACATTTCAGTTTAAAGTGTTTCTTACAAAATCTGGTCTCTAAATGCAATCCAGTCCTTTCTTCTGGTGCTCAGCCAAAGAAACAGTGATGGATTTAGACATTGGCTGCCTTGGACTGAGATGTTCTGGCAATCTCACCAGTGCGGTGCCTTCCTTAGAATGACTCGACTGCATTTCTGCTTTACAAAATGAACTTAGAAGCAAACTTCTCGTATACAATGTAACCCTCTCGTAGGAATCAGTGAGGTAGTAGATAAGCTCTGAAAATCTGTATCAGTGTTGGGAGCATCCAGCTGTCGCCCAGCAGTGGGAAACACAATCTGTTAAACTACATTTGATTACTAACAGGATAAGGATGTATTTTTCATGGCCAAAAAATGAATACTAATGATGATAACGTTACATGTAAGACATCCCTACTGTGTACCAGGCCTTCTGTTAAGCACCTGCATAACCTCATTTGATCATTATGACATCTCTGTGACATAGGAGCAGTTAATATCCCCATTCTGCCAACAAGAAAACGGGGGAATGGAAAAGTGCCATAACTTCCCCAATGCCACTCAGCTAATTATCAGCAGAGCCAGGATCTGAACACAAGAACCTAGTTCCAAAGCCGACAGCCCTCAATAAACTGTGAAACACTGACCTTTGCCCACCTGGTGGAAAGATCAGTGAGATGGGAAGCGTGAGGTCAGTGGGCATTAGGATGGGTGTGTTTGGTGAACCTTTCTCCTGCTTACAGCACTGTCTGGCAGTGTTGACAATGGCTGCTGTGGCACCCCCTGTGACAGTGCACCACTGGTCGTCAGTCCCTCCTTCCTCGCTCACCTGTGGTAGAGTTTCAGATGTTGGAGCTGGGATTGTCCTGACACAGAGATGCGGTCATTGTGTGGGGCTTTGCCAGTGGTCAGCCTGCAGACAGCACTGCCTTTTTTCACCTGTAGGAAAGTGCTCTGTGAAATGGGGTTTGATCATGGTGTCTATCAAGAAGGAGAGGTTTCTTTTCCTATTTGGTTTCTTGTTGGTTAAGTAGAGATGTTTGTGTTGAGCGGTAAGAAAATGAGCAGTTGCTCAGAAATGTCCACCTCCTTTTCTGTTCCCTACCCTCCCTTCTTTGATAGAAACCAGATGGCCCTGAAATATAATTTGGTTCCTTTTGCCAAGAAAGATGGAAGTCATGCACTCTAGCAAGAAAAGCTGAAAGCCTGCGGACTGGAGCCAGAAGATCCAGATTCCAGTCCCAGTTCTGCTGATGTTGCAGTGGGCCACCAGTTATTTCACGTTTCTGGGCATCTATTTCGCAGAGACTGGACTGGATAATGTCTAAGTTTTCATAGAGCTCTCAGTCCTTTAAGATGGGCAGATGCTGAATTTGCTCAACAGTAGGTAGATAGACCTCTCCCAGCTCTGGGCATCTTAAACAGGCATGTCCTCTCTCCCTGCAGGCATCTTGGCCATCCTCATCCCCCGCCTGGACCTGGTTATCTCCCTGGTGGGCTCCGTGAGCAGCAGCGCCCTGGCCCTCATCATCCCACCCCTCCTGGAGGTCACCACCTTCTACTCAGAGGGCATGAGCCCCCTCACCATCTTCAAGGACGCCCTGATCAGCATCCTGGGCTTCGTGGGCTTTGTGGTGGGGACCTACGAGGCTCTCTATGAGCTGATCCAGCCAAGCAATGCTCCCATCTTCATCAATTCCACCCATGCCTTCATATAGGGATCTTGGTTCGTCTCTGCAGCTGCCTACCCATGCCCTGTGTGTCCCCCGTTACCTGTCCCCAGAGCCTTAGGTATGGTGCAGGCTCTGAGGAAAGTCAGGGTCACTGTGTGGGAACCACTCTGCCTGGCACCTGGGTACCCCAGGCCAGGTAAGGCTGAGGGCAGGTGAGAGGTGGGGTGGCAGACACGCAGAAGTGCTGCAGTGACAGGGTTGTCACTGCTCACTTGTATCTATTTACACCCAGAACTTTCCAGATCTCCCCCATCATGCCTCCTCCTTCCTACCTGCCCTCTGCCTGCTGGTGCACCTCACCTAACTCATTCTCACTGCACAGTTCACTTTATTTAACAATTTTAGTGTCCCCCACCTCATGTTTTCTCCTTTTCGGGGCCAAGCATAGATGAAATAACTGGGAACTTCCCCTCTTTATAAAGCTGGGCTTCTTTCCCATCTCTCTCCCAAATGTTGTATCTCAGTATTTTTCCTATTCGAGTCTCCAGGGGGTGGCTGGACCTACGTGGTCATTTGAAACAGGCCCCCCAAGCTGGAGTTTTTAATCTTGACTCTGGCTTGCCGTGACCCCTAAGGCAATGCTTCCCTTCTCTGGATTCCTTAGTTATGGGTCACAGTACTGTACTCTTAGTTGTTTTAGCTCTTAAAACATATGAAATGTTGCCTAAACTGAAAATATTTATATCTTATTTAAAATCAGATTTTTGTTTTTAGACTGTCTCTAGATTTGGGGTTATTACAAATCGCTTCTTCCTCAGTAAACTTTGACTCAACTTCTCCTGCTGAAAAGAAGCTCGCTCCAGGAGATGTCTGCTTGGGTCCTCAGCACTCTTTGCTGAGGACTCAAAGGTTTTAATCAGGATCATCTAAAAATGTACCTCGGTGAGGAGGCGCGGATTTTGCCTCCTGTTGACCAGCCTGGTTTCATATGAAAAGACACTGAAGGACTGCAGAAATGTTGCGGGTGCACCAGGCCAAGGGAAGTGTGGCTGAGTGAGAGGCGTATGAAGTGGGGCTGTGTACGTTTCAGCCTCAGCCCATGCCAGGTGAAAGGATGAGCAATGCTCAGTCACCATCAGGCTGGGACGACACCCGCTCTGTTGCCGCGGATGAGTAGCTGAGGTCAGTGTGCACAGACAGTTTTAAATTAAGTTCATAATCTTTACAGCAGCTGGTCTGACAACTACGTGTGGTGCTTGGTTGTTTACAATCAGTGGGGAATAGGGCAGAACCAGTGCCCGGCCCCACGCTGCCTCTGTGGCCTGGACTTTGAAAGGAACCATTGAACCACTGAACACTAACGAGCCCTGTCTTTCCCCCAGAATGCCTCCCTGGGTATCGCAGACAGCCTTGAGGTTGGTCCTCCTCAAGGTCAGCCTTCAGATTTGGGAGCAAACTTCAAAGAAGGCAGAAGAAGATACATTGCCTTGCTGTGCCTGTCTCTTCTTTCCTCTTATTGTGAGAAATATTTCAGAAGGTCATTGATGAATTCCCCCTCTCATTAGCGCTGTGTGTGTGCACGTGTGTGCACATGTGTGTGCTTCTGTGTTCCTGTGTAAGCAACAGAGCACACTCCTTGTCTTTTCTGTTCCTGTCACCAGGCTCTTGCTTCACTGCAGATACGGTTCGCTCCGAAAGTTAGTTGAGGGAGAGCAGCAAAAATGTATCAGGAGTTTTGCTTCTGTGTTTCACTAAAGCTTATGGGGCTCTGACCCACTCACATGGCCCCAGTTTTTTCTTTCTCTTCTGTTCCAAAGCCAGGAGAGCTGACTTCCAGGAGAAGAGATGGGAAAAAGGGGACTCTCATTGTAGTGGCTCCCGACCTACCTAATAATTTGTTAACTTGAGAACATGCCATCATTGTTGACTTGTTCTTCCGTAGGAGAAGGACGGTTTTCACCCACCCTTTCTGTTCTATGGTGGACTCTAACAGGTGCTATATGACCGAGAATCTAGCTGGGAGTAGCAGAGGCCCTGTCTTCTGAAGTTTCACGTTTAGAAGTTATCACCGTGGGCTCAGAAACTGTCATCTCCTGGTTCTAAGCTTGGCCTCTGGCAGCCCAGCCGCTATCTTAGCTGTCTTCTCAGTGGTGCTGAGAGTGGTCTCAGTGAGAAGGCGGATGCCAACTGGAGGGCCAGACCTGTGTCCTTCCCACGTCCTCCTTGGTGGACGTTTCTCAGAGCTGCTAAAGGCCATCCTGCCCAGCTGAGGTCTGAGACGGGGACTGTGATGCTGGGACCTGAGGGCTGGATGGTAGAATACTGGGGTCCCCCAGCTCTTAGGAAGATACAGGCTATTGCTCCCATGGTCTTGACCTGAGAACGTGGTATGTAGGAGAGTTGGCTGTAGCTTTAGGATTTCTGGAAGCCAATTTGGCATGGCCAGTTTGATCTCTGTCTTGTGTTCCTGCTACACTGACAGACTGTGTGGCTCTTTGGAAACACCCAGGAAGGGGCTCCAGTCGGAGGATCTTCCTGGCTATGCAACTGCACAGCTCTTAGGCATCACGCAAAGGATCAGCCAGACAATGGTAGTGGGAAGAAGCCCTTCCTCCCCTTCCGCAAGCAGCTCTCGGCCAGCTCAGAATCTCTTCTGCAGCCCCCAGGGCTTCTTGAAGCAGAGAACCCTCCCTGGTGTCTTCCCAGGATAAGTAGAAATATCACAGAGCAAAGGCCTTCGGGAGTTGTGAGGCTGCATCTGCTGGAGCAAAGAGAAACCCTGGGCTTTCTGTCCAGATACTCTTGAGATCTATGACCCTGCTCCTGTCACCCCAACTTCCCCAAACCAGAGGTAGCTTTCTCAGAGCCCCTTGGGGGTTTTCTCCTCCATGCTGCTGTTGGGGGCAGGCTTCCAGCTGTCAGTGGGCAGTGCACATCCTCCTAAATGCAGGCACTTGCCAGGGAGAGTGTGAGCTGGCATCTTTTGTTCACCCTGCCTAGCAGTTGTCACCATTCACAAATGGCGTTATTTATATTGTGCTGCTGTCCAGCTGCTAAGAACCCTTCATCTGCACAAGCCCTGGCTAGATATGTGTGAATATGTGGCATCTTTCCATTTCTGTTGTCCTCTTCTATCCCACCTCTGCAGCCAGATTCATTGGCTGATGCTCACTGCTCACTATCTATCCCCATGAAATTTATAGTTTTATCAATAGTCTTAAAGTGTTGATCTCAAACATGTATATTAGAAAAATCATGTTTCTTCTCTCTCTTCTCTCATCTTACTTTTCTCTTCTGATTTCTCTCTTCCTAGAACACGATCTCTGTTTAACACCAATGTTCACCTCATATTTTTTAGAAGTGCAAAAAGCTCAGTTTATGTCTGTTTACAGCTCCTCTCCTCACTGCTCACAGCAAGCAGGTCTGTAGCAGTGGATTTTATTTTGTAGCTGATGAGATGTTAAGGCAAGCCTCAGCATCAGCCCCCGCTAGGTTCACAGTGCTGCTTCCTCGAAGAGAAGCCACAGAGTCCAAGTGGCAGGACTTGAGGTTGGCTTCCAGTCTGCCTTAGAAGTTAATTTTCCAAAGTACATTACAAATCTCTGAGGCCATTAGGGGAAAAGGAAGGAGTGTGGTTTGTCTTTGAAATTACGGTTAATACTTTTCGGCAATAAGTCTGGCTGGTCGCAAGGCTGTTTGCCCCAGCAGCACCAGCCTATGACATCTCTTCCCTTTCCTTTGTGCCACCGAGTCGTTCCCTGGCCAGAGGACATAAGTGGTGCTGATAGGAGGCTATCAGAGTGAGGAAGGTAGGAAATGAGGGTGCAGGGTGCCTGTCATTCACTGTGTTATTTGGTTTGAATCAAAGTGATCCTGGGGAAGATGTGTTCTTTCAGTGGGTAATAAAATCAGTAACTCTATTGTAGAACATGTCAATCGATGTGTGAAGAAAACAGAGCACACAGTAGGTGTTGATAACCAGACAGTACTGTGTACGTCACGTGGCTGCGTGGATGTGCACTGCCAGCATGGTGTGTGTGGAGATGTGGCTCATGCCAGAGCTTGTAGAGCCTGTTTTGGGTTTTGCACGTGGATCATATGTTAAGCTTTTTCTTTTCAATAAATGAATTTTATTTTTTATTTTTGAGAGGTTGCTGTCTGTGTCTCTTTTTTTTCTTTTTATGTCACTCTGATCCCTTTATTAGATGCTGGGTTCAATGTTTCTGGCTTATGCCACAGAGTTCATATGGGAAAGTGGCACAAGCAGTAGACCCATGTATGGAATTAAGAGTTGCCCAAGAAGAAAGGGACCAGTAATGCTTTGTTTTGTTTTTTCTGTTAGGCATTCCTCCCCTCCCTAAACCTCCTCCTGCTTCTCCTGAAAACTGGAGTAAGAATTTTCAGCCCTCTCCATGCATAGCAGATGAGCCCACGTGACAGATGTCATAGCCAGTTTTATATGTGTCAACTTATAATTCAGTCACACACTAACCCAGGTGTTGCTGTGAAGGTATTTTGTAAATGTGGTTAATTAACATCTATAATCAGTTGCCTTTAGGTAAAAGAGGTTTTCTCAATATTGTGGGTGGGCCACATCCAATCAGCTTAAAGGCATTCCGAGCAAAGCTGAGATTTGCCTGGAGAAGTAGTTCTGCCTCAAACCTGCATCATCGGCTGCTGCCTACGGGCCAATTGCAAGTGCCAGGTTGTTTACCTGTGCTTCTGACTGGCTGTAAATTATAAATCAGGGTTCCCATGATTCTGTTTTGGGGTTTGATTTGTTAGAGCAGCTCACAGAACTCAGGGAAGTACGTTTCCCAGTATATTATACAAAGGATACAGATAAAGAGATATAGGGCAGGGGATGGGGGGCAAGGCGCAGAGCTTCCATGCCCATCTGTGTGTTCCACCCTCCAGGAACTTCTGCAGGATCAGCTCTCCAGAGCTCTCCAAACCCTGTCTCTCCTCTTGGGCCTTTTATAAAAACTTAACTGGGTAGGCATGATTGACAGCCATGTGGAATTATGACTGAACAGATAAATGTAAAATGTAATATTAATAGACTGGAGAAACCCAGGAAAGAGATTCTTCTTGGCCTCTCCATGCAGCATTCCTTCATCCAGAGCATAGAGCAGGATCACTTCTGAAATGAGGGTCTATGACTCACAATTAAACAAGGTAATTTTTTATGGCCAGCTCTAAGACAGAAAGCCAGAGGAAAATTAAGTTTTTTTTTTTTTTTTTTGGTTTCTATAGACTATCTTGGGGAGAAATAACACGGGCTATGGAACTTAGGAGCCAGGAACTGTGTACAAAAACCAACATATATATATATATATCATAATACCATAGTCACATAGACAAGGAAAAAACGACCATCTGAGCTGCCTCCTCTATGATTTGAAAAGTAATCTTTGTTGACTACTGAATTAAACAAGTTTAAAAACAGAGCCTTCAAGGAACACTGTTAAAGTGTAACATTTTACTAAGAGAGGAAGGTAGAAATGTAGTCTGTTGTCTATTTTCATTGTCAATATCATTTCTGGAACAGGAAGGTCAGAGATTTAGCAGCTATACCAAGCCGCCAACCAGTAGGTAGCAGCACTGGGATACACAAGCAAGTCTCGTTCCAGAACCTGAGCACCTCCCAAGGCGCTACCTGTCTTTGTTGCAGCCTCAAGAGGGAGGTTTGCCTTGAGGAATTGTGAGGGTTAGAGAGAATGTTGTAAAGTGCCATATGTTATAATCACAAAGAACTTCTTAAACATTTTCTGAAATATTAGCTGACCTGAAGAAAACCAGGACTCCAAAGTACTTCTGCTTGTATTTCCTGCTGTCCATTCATGCGCTGATGTCTTGCTCGCTTCCTCTGCGCAGGGCACTCAATCCTCTTTTAGATTGTCCACCTCTTGAAGTTTTTATTTCTACTCGCATTTATACCTAATGTAATCCCTTCTTCCAGAAAGCCAGGGCTCTGGGGTAAGCCCATTGCACTACTGGAGGCATAAACCTGAGTGACAGTGGACTGAATTTGAACCCTAAGCCTGGGGCACTTTGCTATGTAGGCTGCCTTACTTAGCCCATTGCAGTTGTTGTGCTGAGGAACTATGTGTGTCTTTAATGGGTATGCTTTACTAGATCCTTGGCCACTGGTCTCCTTAAAAAAAAAAAAAAAGTATAATTTACATGTAATTAAATTACATTTACCTTTTTCAAATGTATAGTTCAGTGTGTTTTGCATACAGTCATGTGACCACCATCTCAATCAAGATACAGAATGTTTCCTTTGCCCCTAAAAGGTCCCTTGTGCCCCTTTTCAATCAATCCCAGTCCCTGGCAAGTGCTAATCTGTTTTTTTTCTGTCTCCAGTTTTGTCTTTTCTAGAATGCCGTATAAAACCATTATATATGCCGCCTTTTGTGTCTGGTTTCTTTCATTTAACATAATCATGCTTTTTCTATTCCCCCATGTTGTTACCTGTATCTGTAATTGGTTCTTTTTATTGCTGAGTAGCATCCATTGCATGAATGAATCATAATTTGTTTATCCATTCATTAGTTGATGGGCTGCTTTAAATTTTCAGCTATTTATGGCTTCGTTATTTTAGTGTAAATTTCTTATAAATAATTTTAAAAACTGCCTCTTATTCTTCCTTTAAAACTCACTTGTAACTGCTGCTAATCAGAGTATGTTACGAGGACAACTTGAATTTGTGCTCCCCAGCGGCCATTCTCAAGTTTTGGGCTCAGATATACTCTATACTTAATCATAAAAACAAATTAGCTATTATGAATAAAGCTTCTATGAATACTCATGGACAGGTCTTTGTGTAGACGTATGTTCTTATTTCTCTTAGGTAAATACCAAGAGGTGAAATGATGGGGTTGTATGGGAAATGTGTGCTAACTTTTGGCAAATTGTTTTCCAAAGTGGCCATATCCTTTTGGATTCCTAATGTCTAACAGTTACAGTTGCCCCATATCCCCACCAATACTTAATATTGTGATCTTTTAAATTTTAGCCCTTCTAATGGGTGTAAAGTGGCTTCTCGTTGCAGTTTTAATTTGCTTTTTCCCGATGACGAGTGATGTTTTGCACCTTTTTATGCTTATTGGCCTATCTTCTTTAATGAAGTATTTGTTCAAGTATTTTGCCTCTTCAAATTCAGTCATCTACTTCTTTCGATTTAAGCTTTTTATTTTGAAATAATTGTAGATTTACAGGACGATTCAAAGGCACTGGAGGGAGGTCTGGTATACCTTTCAGCTGGGCTTCCCAGTGTTAACATCTCGCAAAACTGTAATACATTCTCGAAACTGGGAAATTGACATTGGCACAATCCATAGAGCTGATTCAGATTTCATTAGTTATACATATACTCATTTGTGTTTGTGTGTGTGTGTGTGTGTGTGTATAGCTGTGTGCAGTTTTATCACGAGTCGCTTTGTATACACCACCACCACAAGCTAGATGCCTAACTGTACCATGACCTTAAGACTCCTTTATGCTGTTTATGGACATCCACTCCCGTCAGTACCCCACATCCCTAACCTTTCCCAGAAGCCACGAATCTGTTCTTCATCTCTATAATTTTGTTATTTCATGAATGTTATATAAATTGAATTATGCCATATGTATCTTTTTGGGATTGGCTTCTTTCACTTAGTATAATTTCCTTGATGTGCATCTAAGTTGTTGCATTTAGCAATAATTTGTTTCTTTTTATCATTGAGTAGGGTCCCATGGTACTGATGTTTATTCACTCACTGAAAAGAAATGTACATAGTTTCCAGATTTGGTTATTACATATAAAGTGCTATAAATGTTTGTGCAAGTGTTTCTGCATGAAGATAGGTTTTAATTTCCCTGTTATATGTGCCCAAGAATGCGATTGCTGAATTGTACGGTGATGTGGTTTGGCTGTGTCTCATCTTGAATTTCCACACATTGTGGGAGGTGATTGAATTGTGGGGGCGGGTCTTTCCTGCACTGTTCTCCTGATAGTGAATAAGTCTCATGAGATCTGATGGTTTTTAAAAGGTAGAGTCTCCCTGTACAAGCATATTCTCTCTTTTGCCTGCTGCTATCCAGATAAGATGTGACTTGCTCCTTCTTGCCTTCTGCCATGATTGTGAGGCTTCCCCAGCTATTTGGAACTGTAACTCCAATTAAACCTCTTTCTTTTGTAAATCGCCCAGTCTCAGTTATGTCTTTATCAGTGGCGTGAAAGCAGACTAATACATATGGTAAGCTCAGTATTAGTTTTAAAAGGAACTTCTAAACCATTCTCCAGAGTGGCTGTACCATTTTACTACTCCACCAACAATGTATGGGTGATGTATTTCCTTTGCAACTTTGCCAGCCTTTGGTGTTATCACTATTTGTGGTGGTTTTGTTGTTGTTGTTGTTTGTTTGAGACAGAGTCTCACTGTGTTACCCAGGCTGGAGTGCAGTGGCTCACTGCAACCTCCACTTCCCAGGTTCAAGCGATCCTCCTGTCTCAGCTTCTTAAGTAGCTGGGGCTACAGGCGCATGCCACCATGCCCAGCTAATTTTTGTATTTTTAATAGAGATGGGTTTTGCCTTGTTGGCCAGGCTGGTCTTGAACTCCTGACCTCAGGTGATTCGCCCACCTTGGCCTCCAGGGCCTCCCAACACTACTTGTTATTTTAACCATTTATCAGATCCTGTGTTTTGTTGGACTTATACTTAAGTATTTAATTTTCTTTGGAGCAATTATAAATGGTAATTTTTTTATTCCAGTTTCAGTGTGTCCATTGGTAGCATATAGAAATACAATTGTCTTGCGTATTTTAATCTCGTATCCTGTGACCTTTCTGTACTCAATAATTCTGAGTTTTTGGTTACATTTCTTGGGATTTTCTTTTTAGACAACCATGTTGTCTGTAAATAGAGATAGGTATGTTTCTTCTTTTTCAATCTGTATCTCTTTTCTTTTCTTTTTGCCGTATCGCAGTGGTTCAAATTCCCAGTTTGAAAACAAGTGGTGAGAGTGAACATGCTAGTCCTGTCCCTGATCTTGTAGGGAAAGCATTCAGGCTTCACTTTAAGTATGATATAAGCTGTACAGCTCTTATAGAAGTTCCCCTCTATTCCTGTACTGAGATATTTTAAAAATCATTAATGAGTACTGAATTTTGTCAAATGTTTTTTCTGTATCTAATATGATCGTACAGTTTTTCCTTTTTCACCTTTTGATATGGTGGATTCCATTGATTGATTTTTGAATATTGAACCAGCCTTGCTTACTTGGAATCAATCCTACTTGGTCATTTTATATTATTCTTTACATTGTTAGATTGCCTTTCATTTTTCACTCACCCTGATATTTACTCTGACAGATGTAGACTCTAGAATGGTGCCTTTTTAGAAATGAGTAAAACCATATACATAATTACTAGTTTTGGCACAAGCGTTCTTTTGCCCCAGGCTAGATTCCAGCTGCTCTGGTGCTGCATAAAGGTTGCATGGGTTTCTTTAGAACAGGGTTTCTTTTTTTTTTTGAGACGGAGTTTCACTCATGTTACCCAGGCTGGAGTGCAATGGCGCGATCTCGGCTCACCGCAACCTCCGCCTCCTGGGTTCAGGCAATTCTCCTGCCTCAGCCTCCTGAGTAGCTGGGATTACAGGCACGCACCACAGAACAGGGTTTCTTTTTTGTTGTTGTTGTTAGGGAGACAGAGTTTTACTCTTGTTGCCCAGGCTGGAGTGCAATGGCACGATCTTGACACCACAAACTCTGCCTCCCAGGTTCAAGCGATTCTCCTGCCTCAGCCTCCCGAGTAGCTGGGATTACAGGAATGCACCACCACGCTCAGCTAATTTTGTATTTTTAGTAGCGATGGGGTTTGTCCATGTTGGTCAGGCTGGTCTCAAACTCCCGACCTCAGGTGATGCCCACCTCGCCCTCCCAAAGTGTTGGAATTGCAGGCGTGAGCCACCACAGGGTTTTTTAACCTCACTCTTATTGACATTTGGGGCTGGATAATTATTTGTTCTTAACCTCACTATTGGTGACATTTGGGGTTCTGTGCGTTAGAGAATGTTTAGCAGCATCCTGGGCCCCTACTCACTAGATGTCAGTTGCACCTTGCAAGTTGTGACAACTAAAAATGTCTCTAGAATTGCCAAATATCCCCTTGGCAGGGGTGGGGGATGGGGTGGAAATCGCCACCTCAGCTGCCAGGAACCAATGCCTTAGACCATTTAGTGCCACCTACCTTTAGCTGGGGGGATGTCCTTTTACTGTGGCCATGGAACAAAGGAAAGTGCATCGATACAGATGCTACACAAAGAGCTGCCTTTTCAGTAGTAATGTAAAATATCTCTAACATCTCCTGAATGAACACTGATACCAACTACGCTAAGCACTTTATGTATGTTATCTCCTGTACTGAGTACAGGCAAGGAAAGTGCTGGTAATATCCCTACTTTGCAATCTAGGCATAAAAGGTTAAGTGACTTGCCCACGATCACATCTCCTAAGTGGTGAAGCCAGGTCTGTCTGACAATCAAGCCTCATGTCCTTGCCGCTGGAACTTACTCCCCTGCCAGCCGATTCCTTCATTTCCCTCGCCTCCTTCAGTGAGCACAGCACATTTCCAAGCCTGTCTTTTGACTCAAGCCTGATTTCACCCTGCCCTCCATAAATCACTCTCAGCCATCAGAACTACCCACCATTGCCCAAACACTTAAAACCTCTCGGCCTTCACTTTAGGTTTTCCCCTGAAGACCCTCCTTTCTGGGCTAAATCAGCAGCTCTGCTCTAAGACCCAGCCCAGATGGCTGGGCCTCTGCAGCGGACTTTCCCTGGCCAGTTCGGTCGGAACTTAGAACTCCCTCCTCAGCAACGCTGTCACTTCCCTGCTCTGGTTAGGCTAGTACCTGTGTTGGAGACATGTGACTACTTGGCCACATTCCCCAGATTGTGAGCTGCCTGAGGGCACTGCTCAAGTCAAATGGGATCTATCCCCACTCTGCCCTTGGGGGCTAATTGTGTATCTGGAATCTTTGGTTACTAAATTCAGTGTAGTCTCCTTCCCTAGTGAATAGTGGCCTGGTCTGGTAAAAAAAAGTTACATCACTATATTGTGAGCTCTGTATCAATCTAACCAAGCACCTTGCTTGGTTGGACCCT